ATATTCCTATAAAGATAATATTCAGGTCTCATTGGAAAATCAATTTTCAATATCTTTTTACATTCATTGTGAACCATTTTCCAATATTGTGATGTTTTTCCACATGACCACTCATATCGGTCTCTGCCTCCTGGCAAAGACCCCCAAATTCTTGCTCGATATCACACCACATAGGATAGTACGATCCCTCTTGTATTTTACATTTCCAACATCTATTATCTGAATTTTTAAACATTATCCCTAATTTTTTGGTGTTTTGGTGCTGCAGTTTCTCAAGTTGCTGCTGACACGGGGGGGAAAATCAGCTATAACCAGCACTTTGGAAGTAAACTAGCAGCTACTGAAACTGTTCCAACAAGGAAGTTTCTGGAAATTGTCCAAAAAAATATCCCCAATAGAGTGCATTGTGTGCATGTATGTGCCTTCAAATAATCTATCAATTTCTAAACTCATGAAGTTCATGGAGGGTCTGGAGAACAAGCCCTATGAGGAGTGGCTTAAGGAGCTGGGCATGTTTAGCCTGAAGAAGAGAAGGATGAGAGGAGATATGATAGCCATATATAAATATGTGAGAGGAAGCCACAGGGAGGAGGAGGGAGCAAGCTTGTTTTCTGCTTCCCTGGAGACTAGGACGCAATGGAACAATGGCTTCAAACTACAAGAAAGGAGATTCCATCTGAACATGAGGAAGAACCTCCTGACTGTGAGAGCCGTTCAGCAGTGGAACTCTCTGCCCCGGAGTGTGGTGGAGGCTCCTTCTTTGGAAGCTTTTAAACAGAGGCTGGGTGGCCATCTGTCAGGGGTGATTTGAATGCAATATTCCTGCTTCTTGGCAGAATGGGGTTGGACTGGATGGCCCAGAGGTCTCTTCCAACTCTTTGATTCTATGATTCTATGGAGTGTCTTAAGCATGAGATATTCAGAAATGGTTTTTGCCCTTCCTCTTTCCTATAGCATCTAGGATTCATTGCCGGTCTCCTATCCAAGTATCAACCAGAGCTGATCCTATTTAGTTTCAAGATCAGACAGGATGGTGCTTTTAGAGCATTTAGATTTCAATCAACCCATGCCATAATAACCCTTGCCATCCTATATAAATAAAAATGTAATGTTCGTTTGTGGGATTAACATAACTCAAAAACCACTGGACTAATTGCCACCAAATTTTGCCACAGGATAACTACTAACCCAAGGAGTGACCATCACTCAAAAATTGATTTTGTCATTTGGGAGTTGTAGTTGCTGGGATTTATAGTTTACCTACAATCAAAAAGCACTCTGAACTCCACCAACAATGGAATTGAACCAAACCTGGCACACAGAATTCCCATGAACAACAGAAAATACTAGAAGGGTTTGGTGGGCATTGACCTTGAGTTTGGGAGTTGTAGTTCACCTACATCCAGAGACCACTGTGGACTCAAACAATGATGGATCTGGGCCAAACTTAGCACAAATATTCCATATGCCCAAATATGAACACAGATGGAGTTTTGGGGAAATAGTCCTTGATATTTGGGAGTTGTAGTTACTGGGATTTATAGTTCCCCTACACCCAAAGAGCATTCTGAACCCCATAAATGACAGAATTGGGGAAAACTTCCCACATAGAACCCCCATGACCAACAGAAAATAGTTTAAGGCCATCCAGTCCAACTCCCTTCACCAGGGCAAGAAAACGTAATCAAAGCCCTCCAGACAGAGAGCCATCCAGCCATAGATATAGATAGATATATATGATTCACATACAGATGTAGTATGATAGATTTGAAAGGGACAATTATATGTTGCATGTTCCAGAGTAGGCAAACCAGACAATCTCCACATCAACATTGACAAAGAAACAGCAATAAATACTGTTTACCCACAAGCATCAAGAAATTACAAATATTGGAAACCAACACTTTCTCATTGCTCTATTTTCCAGATCACCAGACTGGGCTACAGCAACGCCTGGCAGGGGACGGCTAGTCTATATATACTTCCCCCTCACATACTTCATGTAAAACACAATTCTGCAAGATTATCCATTATTTATTATTGCCATGTTGCCGTTGTGGATGTTAAGGCGGAAAGCTTTGCCCAAAGCCATCTAAGACATTCATGGATGAGGTAAGATCAGAGCCAGATTTCACACTAAATTACCATTACTCCAGCCTTCCTAATTACGCTGACATATCTAGCTACATTTCATGTTCTTGCCCTAATTCTCACATGAAAGGAGAGTTCCAGAGTTCATCCTTGTTTTACAACATGCCCTTCCCCAGTTCTCCGAATGACTGGATGGATCTTAATTGTTTTATATTTATATATAAATAACTAGATGATACGATTTAATCTGGAATTTAAGAGCCAAAACAACAGCTTTAGGATTCAACCCCCTGAGAGATTAAGATGTTAGGAAACTAAACTGAATAAATTATTGGAGCAGAACTTACAAAAAAGCCCCTGAACCTCTTGCACACCGAATTTCAAACAAACTTGGTTTAGTTCAGATGTAGTATGAACCAAAATCTGGTAGAAGGAAAATACGATGTATGAGACATCTATACTGACCACTTAAGTCAGTTTCAAACCAGTATGGAAGAAAGTGGTTTCACTGTGCAGATGATTACATAGGAAATCCTAGAACCAGCTTGAGGTCTGGATGGTGATGACCTTAGGCGATCCCTCGTTGGCAGAATAGGATAGTCTTCCAGGAGCAGTATTCTTGTGGGTCCGTAGGTGGCTGTGGAGCCCTATTCCTGATCTGCATCTTCTCCCACAGTGAGGGCTTTGGTTTCCAGGTCAAAGGCGGTCCCAGTCGGGGATGGCTTGATGCCCCTTCCTCTTGGCACGTTTTTCTCTTTCACCCGCCATTCGTGCCTCTTCAAATTCTTCATCACTGCTGGTCACAGCTGACCTCCAGCTGGAGCGCTCAAGGGCCAGGGCTTCCCAGTTCTCAGTGTCTATGCCACAGTTTTTAAGGTTGGCTTTGAGCCCATCTTTAAATCTCTTTTCCTGCCCACCAACATTACGTTTTCCGTTCTTGAGTTCGGAGTAGAGCAACTGCTTTGGGAGACGGTGGTCGGGCATCCGGACAATGTGGCCGGTCCAGCGGAGTTGATGGCGGAGGACCATCGCTTCAATGCTGGTCTTTGCTTCTTTCAGCACTCTGACGTTTGTCCGCTTGTCTTCCCAGGAGATTTGCAGGATTTTCCGGAGGCAGCGCTGATGGAATCGGTCCAGGAGTTGCATGTGGCATCTGTAGACAGTCCACGTTTCGCAGGCATATAGCAGGGTTAGGAGGACAATAGCTTTATAGACAAGCACCTTGGTATCCCTACGGATGTCCCAGTCCTCAAACACTCTCTGCTTCATTCAGAAAAATGCTGCACTCGCAGAGCTCAGGCGATGTTGTATTTCAGTGATAACCAAACCACAGTGCACTGATGCACATTAAAGGTTTGCTTTTACATGCTTGGTGCATTCCAGGCCTGGAAACACCTATGACCACCCCACCACACAAGAGTCCAGGAATATAAGCATTTAGTTTATTGTAAAACACATAAAAGGAATATAAAAAGCAGGAATAAGAAAGGAAGATGTGCAGTCCAAAAAGGTTTAGCAACAGGTGATAACCAAACAATAATCCAAATGTCTCATCAGGTTCCAACGGAGTCCCCAGTGACGCAGTGGGTTAAACCCCTGTGCCAGCAGGACTGAAGACCGACAGGTCGCAGGTTCGAATCCGGGGAGAAGCAGATGAGCTCCCTCTATCAGCTCCAGCTCCTCATCTGGGGACATGAGAGAAGCCTCCCACAAGAATGATTAAAAACATCAAATCATCCGGGCATCCCCTGGGCAACGTCCTTGCAGACGGCCAATTCTCTCATACCAGAAGCGACTTGCAGTTTCTTAAGTCGCTCCTGACACGATTTAAAAAAATCAGGTTCCAAAGGTGACAAAATTCAGGTACAGCCAGAAGTCACAGGTACAGCATCAGTCCACAAGCAAGAAGGTGTAACTTGCAAAAAACTTATACAGGAATACATGAACAAGAACATAGAAAACTTCCAGGATATTAGAATTAAAAAAGGCTTGTCTTGAACCAGAAACAAGATAACTTAGTCTTAGTTTCTCATTCAAATGCAGTGTTGCCTGAACTGCCCTTAAGATAAACAACTTGTTGTTTAATAAAAACCCATGAAAGCAGTACGTCTCCCATGAATTTTCTCCCCAACTTTCCCATTTAATCTTTCCGATCGACGTAATCTATTTTCAGCTCTGATTTGTAAAGAAAGACGTTTGTTGATCTCCAAAACTACAGGTGGTTTCTCCTGGGAACCCTCCCTATCACTCAGTTCTTCACTTGATTCCTTATCTACTGTTGCTACTTCTGGCTCCTCTCATTGGTCTTGAGGCCCTGCATTTTCCGAGTGAGATTTTTTCACAGAGAACCATCATTTGAAGAACCAGACTTGAAGGCTCATCACTTTGTGCCACACAAAAGCCACGATCCTCTCTAAATCCTCAGTTAACCTATCAGCCTCTGGCTGTTCTACAACAGTGCTTTAGTGGCCGTTTGCTGTCTAGCCGCTGCAGTTTGAAGATAACTTTGAACTGCATTACATAGTCCATTTAGTTGGAGCCAGAGTTTCAAGGGGCCTCTGTTGAAGGAAGTGAGAGGGTAGAGAAGAAAGCACTCAAAAAGTAGTCACCTTTCGTGAGAGGTATACATCTGTCTATAGATAGCAGATACTGGATCTATCCATGCTAGTGGAAACAGTACAGAGCCAGATAGATCAACTGTCTGACACTTTACAAGGCAGCTTCTTATATTACTTATTCAATAATGAAGCTCACAGGATGATGTCGATGTAATCATTTCCCCCATCATCTTACAAGTTTCTTATGAGACTAAAATGGGGGGGACGGGGGGGACGGACCAACCATTGTTATTTTGAGCCGCTCCGTGTCCAAATGAAACGTATGGAAATAAATCAACATCACCAACAAACCTGAAAGCTAAATAAACCTTGTAGCTGTGGCTGAAGCGGCTGTCTGGACACAGCCATCGTCCAAGATAGAATCTGGAAAATTGTTACAACATAAAATAATTAGCGTATGGCACTTTTCCCAGGAAAGCTGTTAAGATCTAGCCTCAGGTTTTCCAGGGTCCTGGCTTGTTTCGCCCAATTTCTGCTCTGGTTCGTTTCAGTGCAAGGGCGCCAGACAACTTACTCAGAGTCAACCAGTTCGGGCAGAACTGGATCCAGGCCATACTATACAAACTTGGCTCCTGCCATTGTTCTAGCCCAAAAACCACAAAGGGAGCATTAATATGTGTTCCTGTGGGCACAAATGCAACAAATTGTTGCATAACATTAATTTAGAAGAAAAAAACACTCAAAGGGGGAGCAGAAGAAAACTAATGACCATATGTTGTTAAGAGCTTGAGCTAACAGAGAAAGGGCTAAGGAGAGGCCACGCAGCAGCAATTATCTGTATATATCGTATCAGGACAGATCAATGTTAACTAGGTTGTTGTAGGTTTTTTCGGGCTATATGGCCATGTTCTAGGGGCATTCTCTCCTGATGTTTCACCTGCATCTATGGCAAGCATCCTCAGAGGTAGTGAGGTCTGTTGGAACTAGGGAAAAGGGTTTATATATCTGTGGAAGGACCAGGGTGGGACAAAGAACTCGTCTGCTGGAGCTAGGTGTGAATGTTTCAACTGACTACCTTGATTAGCAATGTTACTACTATGCCAGTGGTTCTCAACCTTCCTAATGCAGTTCCTTATGTTGTGGTGACCCCCAATCATAAAATTATTTGCGTTGTAACTTCATAATTGTAATCTTTCTCCAATTCAGAATCATAATGTAAATATCTGATATGCAGGATGTAATTGAGAGACGGTGGTTGGGCATCCAGACAACGTGGTCAGTCCAGCAGAGTTGATGGTGGAGTACCATCGCTTCAGTGCTGGTGGTCTTTGCTTCTTCCAGCACGCTGACATTTGTCCACCTGTCCTCCCAAGAGATTTGCAGGATTTTTTGGAGGCAACGCTGATGGAATTGTTCCAGGAGTTGCATTGTCCACATGCTTGTGGATTTCAACGGCTTCTCTGTGTAGTCTGACATAATGATTGTGAGAGTGGTCCAGCATTTCCATGTTTTCAAATAATATTCTGTGTCCAGGTTGATTCATCAGGTGCTCTGCTATGGCTGACTTCTCTGGCTGAAGTAGTCTGAAGTGACTTTCATGTTCCTTGATTTGTTTGGGCAATGCTGCGTTTGGTGGTCCCTATGTAGACTTGTCCACAGCTGCAAGTATCTACTGTATATGATGCAGCTGTAGACAAGTCTACATCGGGACCACCAAACGCAGCACTGCCCAAACATGAATCAAAGAACATGAAAGGCACTTCAGACTACTTCAGCCAGAGAAGTCAGCCATGGCAGAGCACCTGATGAACCAACCTGGACACAGCATATGAGGTTTCAAGAAGGCATTGGTGGTTTGCCATCTTAAGACCACCATAAGGAGCAAGAGGAATGAAATGTAGCAGTGGAAATCAAGTATGCTCTTGTGGAAGAAACAACACATTTGCATAACAAAGGGGGAGAAAAACTGTCTCTCAAAACTGCTGAAAATGAAAAAGATATAAGCAAGAATGAAAAATATTTTTTTAAGAGAAAATGTATTATTTGCTTGCAAATACACATTTCTCAGACCTGGCTGTGTTGCAAGTCCAGTCATATACCTTCCAAATGCATATATCTTGATGGATTCTTTTATGTTTAAAATTCCTTGGGGCTTTTGGGAGATTGCCACAGCTTGCTCCATGCCAGAGGGGACACACATAACTGCTGAACAGGTTGGACTTTGAATCTTTCAGGAGTTTAACACAAGGCTGTATGGAGCTATCACACATTCAAGATGGCAGACAGTGAATCATCAGCCGATTAAGACCTGGATCACTGGTCATGCTTAGCAGCTAAAGAGAGTTAACTCGAAGATCCCCAAATTGTGTGCAACTTTGCAAGATTGCAACCTAGATCCCATGGAGAAATAGAAAACCGTATTTTTGTTCATATGGAGCTTCACGGTGCTGAAATTTAAAACAAAGGAAACAATAATGGGCAAGTGGAAACCATGTATGGTTTAACTATTCTTGAGATTAGTAACTTTTAAGTTGTTATATAAACCTGAGTTGTGATTTTGTTTTTGTATGTCAGGATCCAGGGCTCTGCCAGTATGAAGGCAGAGGTGAACCAAAGACAACACCTAGCTTGTTTCAAAAACTATTTTTCTTAAAGCAGCACTTACTCATTTGGCTGTTTTCAAGGTTGAAGTTCAAAACATAAAGATAGCACACAGCCACTGACACCAAACAAAGATTAATAACAAGGAGCATACTACAAACACTGGTTCAGGAGAAAGAGTACACCGTAGCCAAGGTTGCACTCGAGAAGTCAAATGTCAAGAGTTGATGTACCTTGAATTCCAGGACTGACTACATATTTGGATCACTCTTGAACTCCTAAGGGTGATCCAAATATGTAGTCAATAGTTTAATGGTGTAACATTAGAAAATGTTGATAATTTCCGCTACCTTGGCAGCCACCTCTCTACCAAAGTCAACATGGACACCGAAATACAACACCGCCTGAGCTCTGCGAGCGCAGCATTTTTCCGAATGAAGCAGAGAGTGTTTGAGGACTGGGACATCCATAGGGATACCCAGGTGCTTGTTTATAGAGCTATTGTCCTCCCAACCCTGTTATATGCCTGTGAGACGTGGACTGTCTACAGACGCCACATGCAACTCCTGGAACGATTCCATCAGCGCTGCCTCCGGAAAATCCTGCAAATCTCTTGGGAAGACAAGCGGACAAATGTCAGTGTGCTGGAAGAAGCAAAGACCACCAGCATTGAAGCAATGGTCCTCCGCCACCGACTCCGCTGGACCGGCCACGTTGTCCGGAGGCCCGACCACCATCTCCCAAAGCAGTTGCTCTACTCCAAACTCAAGAATGGAAAATGGAATGTTGGTGGACAGGAAAAGAGATTTAAAGATGGGCTCAAAGCCAGCCTTAAAAACGCTGGCATAGCCACTGAGAACTGGGAAGCCCTGGCCCTTAAGAGCTCCAGCTGGAGGTCAGCTGTGACCAGCAATACTGCAGAATTTGAGGAGGCACGAATGGAGGGCAAAAGGGAGAAGCGTGCCAAGAGGAAGGCGCGTCAAGCCAACCCCGACCAAGGCCGCCTTCCACCTGGAAACCAATGTCCTCACTGCGGAAGAAGATGCAGAGCAAGAATAGGGCTCCACAGCCACATATGGACCCACAAGAATATTGGAAGACAATCTTCCTCGGAAAACGAGGGAAGAAGAAGAAGAAGAAGAAGAAGAAGAAGAAGAGGAGGAAGAGGAAGAAGAAGAAGAAGAAGAAGTCAATAGTCAGTCCTTCAATTCAAGGTACCGTACATCAAGGTTCACAACAGTATGCAAGAGCAACAGGGTTCACCAACAAGATGCTCACCAGAGTTCAAGGTTCTTCAAGGTACAGGGTTCCAAGAGTTCATGAGACAGTTCAGGACATCAAAATCCACAAAACCTGGCAGAGAAACCACCAGCATCCACAGCCAAGTATAACAGATACTTTTCTCCCGAAGAGCCATCTCTGCTAGGCTCTGCAGGCCTCCATCCTTATTGCTGCTAGCTATAAGTTCTTACATACAGATTACTCTGCCCTTTAGAACTAGGAGGAAGATTAACCCCTTCTATACCTTCTGCTGCATCACCGCCCTACTGGTCATGATTCTACCAAGCCTTCTGTGTACTAATCACCACCATTCACTACCAACCACCACTGCACTACCAACTACCATCAACTGCTGGACATGTCCTCCAGCTAAGCACTCAAGGGCCAGGGCTTCCCAGTTCACGGTGTCTATGCCAGAGTTTTTAAGGTTGGCTTTGAGGCCATCTTTAAATCTCTTTTCCTGCCCAACAACATTCCATTTTCCATTCTTGAGTTCGGAGTAACTGCTTTGGGAGACGGTGATCGGGCATTTGGACAACATGGCCGGTCCAGCAGAGTTGATGGCGGAGGACCATCACTTCAATGCTAGTGGTCTATGCTCCTTCCAGCACGCTGACGTTTGTCCGCCTGTATTTCAATAAAGGCTGGGTGTGAAGTATGACTTAACTCAGGGTTTTTCTCTGACTGCCGTCAGAAATGAACTGCCAGCCAGTTTAACAAAGGAGAATCAAGTGATAGGAGAAGTCAGTCCTCAAAATACAACCCAATCGACACATCATCAGCACAACAGATGAGTTGCAAATGAGCCTCAAACAGGTGTACAATCACATGTCGAAATCCGCACTTCTAACATCTATATCAGGGGTTCTCAAACTAAGGCCCGGGGGCCGGATATGGCCCTCCAAGATAATTTACCCGGCCCTCACTCAGGGTCAACCTAAGTCTGAAACAACTTGAAAGCACACAACAACAACAACAACAACAACAACAACAACAACAATCCTATCTCAACAGCCAAAAGCAGGCCCATACTTCCCACTGAAATATTAATAAGTTTATATTTGTTAAAATTGTTCTTCATTTTAATTATTGTATTCTTTTGAAGTGTATTTTACACTATAGATAAAATATGTGCAGTGTGCATAGGAATTCATTCATTTTTTTTCAAATTATAATCCGGCTCTCCAACTGTTTGGGGGACTGTGACCTCGCCCTCTGTTTAAAAAGTTTGACGACCCCTGATCTATATAAATAAAATTGTAAATTTAGTTTGTGGGATTAATATAACTGAAAAACCACTGGATGAATTGACATGAAATTTGGACACAATACACCTACCAGGCCAACAAGTGATTATCACTCATAAAAAAACACACAGAAAAACACAAAGGCCAAAAAAGCAAAAAAGATGCTACAGCGCATGCGCAAAAACAACTCCCCCTGGCAAACAAAACACACAATAGCATATCCACATTCTCTTCCAGACTACAGCTCCCATCATCCCCTAGACCAGGCCCTTTAGGAGA